TGTCCTTAGGCGATACATTGTTACAGGTCTGCAAAGCTTTCTTTCTAAGATATTTGTAAGTCTCTTAAATTATTCAGTGAGAAATAGTTTTAAGTGAAAAGTATTTTCTTATTAATCAGTTCTTCACTGGATCTTGTGTTCTGTCAAGAAAGGATACATGTTACAAGTGTATGTAGAAAAGAAAGAGGAAACTTTCTTTTGTTCAAGGTGTAAGGTAAGTTATAGAGCTTGGTTTTATGTTTATTAAAATTTGAAAATGTTGCTGTATTACAGTACTTTTATTTGAAATTGATCTGCTTTACAAAACCTCATACAGGATGCTGAAGGAGCTAAGAATTTTGGCTTAAAATGATACAATGAGAAAACCTCAGCATTTCACTTTTGCTGAAATATTTCTAGAAAGTTTTCATGTACCAAATTTGTTCTCAAATTAGAGTATCAAAGTTTTTAAAAGGTTGGAAAAGTTGAATGTGTGCTGATTCAAGGGTTAATATGATACTTTTTATTCTGCAAGTGGCTCCCTTTTATTTTTGATTTCTTTTCCCCCAAAAACTTTTTTCTGAAGTGCAGAATATAGAATTTTTTATTAATTGAGAGGTAGTAAGTTGGAGAATAAACATGGGATCAGGAAACAAGGCTTGGATTTTAATTTCAGGTCTTTTTATTTACTAGCTTATCTCTTCTTAACAGCGATAAGATTTTAACCTATTTAATTTTCACAAGCATCTTTAAAGTAGTAGTAATAGTAGTAATAACATTTTATCAAGCTTTTATGATTATGGGTTTTGCAGAATTGAAAATTAAATGTGGATAAAATTACAAACACAGTAAAATTCAAGTTAATACTAACATGTGACTGACATTGTTTTGTTGCTCACAATGTAATTGTGGTACTAACTGGCACATTGCATATTCTTTTATGTTTGGAATTCCTGTCCAAATGTGTTTTTAAAAATCTTTAATTATGGCAAATTACACGTAACATAAATTTTACAACTTTAACCATTTTTAAGTGTACAGTTTATTAGTGTTAACTATATTTACCTTGTTTTGCAGTCTCCAGAGCCTTTCTGTCTTGCAAAACCGAAACTCTATACCCATTAAGTAACTGTCTAGTTCTCTCTGGCCCTTCTAATTTCTGTAACTATGAATTTGACTACTCTAGATACCTCAAAGAAGTAGAATCATATGCTATTTGTGAATAGCTTATCCTACTTAGCATATTGTGCTCGAGGTTCATCCAGGTTGTAGCATGTATTAGAGTTTGCTTCCTTTTTAAGGCTGAAAAATATACTATTGTATGTATAGACCACAGTAGTATGTGGACCTGAAAAAGAAATTACCTATCAAGAAGAACTCCTGCTTAAAAAAAAAAAAAAGAAAAGACTCCTGGTGGCCAACTGGGTTCAAAATTAAAAGTAGAGCCTAGCTGCTGTTTCCAAACAGGGGCGTCTCATGCAAACTGCACTTCAGGGAGAAGCCTGCACTGAACTGCCTGCCTGTGTTTCTCTCATCTGAGCCAGCCCTTGTAAAGGAATTCCTGAAATAGTATTTCAACCAATAGGACCTAGGCTTTCCCATCCAGGTGGAGCTGTGCAGCTATATCCCTGTCGGCATCTTCATTGACCAATCAGAGCTGCTCCATTCTGACCAATCAGGACAGTGCCTTTTGGACCAAACTGCCAGGATTTGGAGTCCTTGTTTGCATGAGGATGGACCAGTCAGGAACAAAGGGCAGGGCCTTCTCTCTATTTAAGTCAGCTCTATTTAAGTCTTCTCTCTAAGTCAGCTCTGGCTCCGCACTTTCTCTCTCCACAGAAGACTGAAAACTGTGTTTCCCTGGCTGACTAGTGCAGAACCAAGAGGATTAGAGCTGTCTAGTCAGAGAGGGGCCTTGCCCCAGGGCCTCTATGCCCCAGGTCTCCTCACAGCCATGCTGTATCATAGTCCAGCTTTGTCATAATTGCGGTGTAACACTGTTGAGCTGTTCTACAGCCATGTTGTATCACAGTTGAACTGTTGGCACTGAATAGTTTCTTTCCTCACCTCGCCCCAAATTGGGTATTACTGTTGGCAATGAATTGGTGCCAGCAACCATATGTTGACAAGCCCATGACATTTAAAGGAAGTACATGAGCCCGGCCAGGCGTGGCTCAGCGGTTGAGCGTCAACCTAGGATCCAGGCGATCGGGGTTCGATTCCCGGTCAGGGCACATGCCTGTGTTGTGGGCTGCAGCCGATCAGTGACTCTCTCATCATTGATATTTCTATCTCTCACTCTCCCTCTCCCTTCCTCTCTCTGAAATCAATAAAGAAATATTTAAAAAAAATAAATAAATAAAATAAAGGAAGTGCATGAAAACAGCACCAGCACCTTCATAACCCAAACTGGGTGCTGAAATTTTGTGGCAGTGCTTAATATGGAAATGGTTATCCAGATGATTGTCAAAAATGCTTGACTTGCTTTTGCAAGCATACTGTTGAAATGAAATTAATCTCAGAAATTTTGCTAAGACTATACTGTTGAATTCCTGTATTGGAATCACTGGTGGTGAGAATTAAGTGAGATAAATAGGTGCTAAGTTAATGTTAATTTTTTTCCTCAGTTCTTTTTACCTGCTTATGGTTATAAAATTACAGTTTTTTATTTTGCTCTATAAAGAGGTAAATGTTTTTTAATAAGATTGACATGTATATTATTTACCAGAATGGACACACCTAAGTGTCTACTGCCTATAGGAAATAATATTATCAAGTTATTGTTATGTGCAAAAATTTACCCTTATTTTGTTTAGTAAACATGTATGAGAGCACTCACTCTATAACAGGAGATGCCAAGTATAGTGTATCTCTTTAAAGTCATATTTTGTTAAATATAATGGTTTAAGGAAACTGGTAACTAATCTTAAATTTCTATCAGATATTTAGGATTATTGCTAGTAAAAATGACTACCAAATTGCTTTGCCATAGAGGAGGTTTTCTGAGCATCTTGTTCATGTGTCATGTTTCAAACTGCTGCCTAGCCTCAGTAGTGAAGCCATAAATAAGTAGAATAGATTAGTTACACTTTTTTTCAAAATGTCTTAGATCTCCTGTGCTGGTACTTTAAATAGACATTTTGGGAGTTGATGTAGGCCATTTAGGATATGTGATGATGCATACATATAGATACACAAATATGTAATGGATACTTATATATAAAAATGATGTTGATAATATTGCTTGTCGAGGGAATAATAGAAGTGAAGACCCTTTAAATCTTCGCCTTTTACTCACAAATATTATTAGCATATAATACTATCAGATACAGAACTTCCATTATATGGGATAAACTCAGCTGAGCAGGGGTTCTGGTATTACACATCATAAGAGAGAGTTTATTTTGCCCATGTCAAAGCATTCTTACTGACTTCATGAGTTATAGATCCCACAACAGCTAGGTATTTAATTTCCACCATTTTACATTAAATCATTGTGATGCTCTAGCTTAGTTTTTGTGATCCCCAACCCCTGAAAACCTTCCATTATGAATTTTGAACTCATTTTATTTAAACGTTTTCATTTCTTTTTCTAGTGCAACGTCCAATTTGGTGGCCACTAGCCACATGTATTAAGCACTTGAGATGTGGCTAGTCTAAATTGAGATGCGCTGTAAATATAAAATATACACTTGATTCTGAGATTCAGCGTGAAAAAAAGAATATGGAATATCCCAATTTTTTATATTGATTACTTGGTGAAGTGAGAATATTTTGGACCTATTGGGTTAAATGAAAGTATCATTAAAACTGATTTCATGTTTTTACTGAGGTTACTAGAAATCTTAATGTATGTGGCTTGCACTTATCAGTGTGTGTGATCAGTAACATCAAATGAATTCTACACCATAGAATTTACCAAGAATTAAATCTGGAATATCTGTGTTTGCTTTTTTAGTTTTTAAATTCTTCTAAAGTCTAAAACTCATCTAATTAGATAGTTATAATAAAAGTGTTCATTTAAATACTTGGGCCTTTATTGCTTGGGGTTACTGAAAATCTGTTGCTTGAATAACAAAGTAAATACATAAGCCTCCTGTGACTTCCCCCACTCCCCGTCAGGTACAGCTGTTGCTAAGGGAAGTGTGATTTAGAGCTTTCATTAGGATAATAGGTGAAAGAAATGGAAAAGCTATTGAAAATAATTAGTTTAATGTGATAGTAGTAAATGCGGTTTTAACATAACTTTAGTGAGTCAGACATTTTTTTATGGGAAAGCATAGACTATATTTTTGTTCAAGATATTTTAATAGTTTTATTGAGAATAAAATATTTTGAAACAGTTGAAAAATATATGGTGTTTTTTGGTCTGCAGTGTTTATTTTCTGTATTGGTGGACTCCTGACTACTACTTTATTATAGTAAGTCCTCACTGAATGTCATTGATAGGTTCTGTGACTTTTAAGTGAAATGACATATAACAAAACCAGTTTTACAATAGGCTGATTGATATAAACAAGGCTTAAGTTCCTGTGGCATCTCATTAACGCAGTAACGAATTGTTATTCGAGGACCTGCTGTATTCTGAAGGAGCTGTAAGATTAGTTGGAGTCTCTGTAAACTGATTCATAAGTGACTTTATAGTTGTTAATTTTTTTAGAAAACATAAGATACTAATATCAGGGTCATATTGCTAAATGTGATAAAAAGTTTAAAAATACTTGCTCTATTATTAGTATTTGATTCATTACTTGAGGTCCTATTTGCTCTTCGAGGCCCCTCTCAGCAGTAGATATGTTTGCGGTGGTTGACTCTCTCTGGCAGCCTGGGAGGATGTTGTGCTAAGGCAAAATAGCTTTATTGTCTTGTAATTTACCTCCCAATTTAGTTTCCTGGCAACACAGCCAAGGAGAAAGTGAACCAGTGATATGTTATTTGAATGACCTGTTTTAGGGATTATTCAGCTAGGGCTCTACTTTCTTATAGATAAAACTTAATATATTTTAATATTAACTTTACAGATCCTTCTGCTGAGGAATTGAGAAAGCTAATGATGTTGCATGGAGGCCAGTACCATGTGTATTATTCCAGATCCAAAACAACACACATTATTGCCACAAATCTTCCTGCTGCCAAAATTAAAGAATTAAAGGGGGAAAAAGTAATTCGGCCAGAATGGATTGTGGAAAGGTAAGTATAATTTTTAATAAGCTTTAAAGATTGGAATATATTTTATTTCTATTATGACACTTGCATTGTCTCTTAAGGGTGAAAAGTAATTAATGTCTTAAACAGCACTACTGTACTCTAATTTCACATTGATAATTCTGGTGACCTAGGATTTGACATCCTATTAAAAGTACTACATTAGTGTTCTTAGAACCTCGGCTACCAGGAATTAGGGGCACTGACTCAGGTAAGCAGCAGGAGGCAATGATAGGGGGATTGACTAAGCAAGTTATTCATTTGGCAAATATTTGTGCACCTATTCTGGGCTAGGTAATGCTCCCTGTTTGTTTGGAATTGATGTGTTGTAAATCAGTGGTGGCCATTCGTATTAACTTTCTAAGTTATGTCATCTGGAACTTTGGTGATGAGCCAAACGTAGGTGATCTATATTTTAAAACAACAATATTACATATATGAGTGATTGCTAGATTTATGAACGTTGAAAGTGAGAACATTAAAATCATAATTTTATATATGACTAGATTATAATTGTATAAAATAATGGTCAGATATTATGGAGTGCTAATGAAACAAACTTAGTTATTATTATTTTAGTCAATTTCAAGCTTTTTGAAAAAATCCTGATAAGCTTCACTAATTCTGACATTTTATATATATTTATCAGCAGATTGAGTCATGCTCAGTGCCTTTGTGTAGCAGGTATAGCATGACAGATTCAGTGGGAGGCAATAAGCTTAGTGGAAAAGCCTGTGCTTGGGCTCTGGAGACACCTGAGCTCAGGAATTGGTATGCCTGTCATCTGTGTGACTTCAGGAAGAGTTCTGCAGTCATTCTGAACTTCATTTCCACATTTGTAAAGGAAGGCTGGTATCTGCCTGCTTTGGTTATGTGAGAACTAGAAATAATTTGTGCAAACCAGCACAATGCCTGATACATATATATAAGAAGAAACTTTTTTTTAAGTCTAAAAACATTAGCAAGTATTAATAAATAAATCCCAAAAAGTCAAAAGGGTATTTAAAACAAAGAAGTGCATTTAGCTTCCAGAAAGCCAAATGTATTTTATAGATTAAGCATTTTTTAAACCTTGGATTGTTGAAGACCCATTCCTAGAACATCTCATTGGTTCTTTGTGCTGTGTTCTCATGACCTAGTTGCTGTCCATTCATTATGTAGGATCAGTGAACATGGCCTTTAGCTGTGTGTCTCCTTAAAAAGGAGTTGAGAAGTTTTCAGTATAAGAAGTTAGGGTCATTCCAGAGTCAGGTGTGTGTGGTTGCGTACAGACATTCCAGCCCCATCCTTGTACTAGGGCTATAATTTTGATCTGGGAGTATTTAGTTTGGCTTTGGAGGATATGGGGTAGCTCCATGGACAGTAGGAGGGCGGGGGTGAAAAGGGCTCCTACTGGGTAGGACTTGGTTTGCTGAGAAAATGGTGGTTTTCATGACAGCAGTTTTCTTTAGGCTTGCTCTTCCTTCTTGCCCTGAATGCAGCTAGAGAGGCAATGCAATAGACAAAGGAACTGTGGCAGCTGTAAGCTTTAAAATTCACTTTAATGGATTTTATTTTAGTTTAAGTCAAGCTTAATCATCTGTTTTTAAATAACTAAAGTGACTTTGGAGACTGTGATTATATGGACTGTTTGCTTCATTTTATATATGAGAAGGCAGAGCTATTGAGGTTAACTGATTTGCCCAAGAGCAGCAGGATTCAGTCCAGATATTCTGACTCCTGTTTGGCCCATGTGGAAATGGATCAGTCTGGGCATATATCTTAATATATAAAAGAAATGGTCAGTATCTACTGTGTCATAGGATGGAATTCTTTTGCTTAAAGCACACTACTGTTTCCTTTTACACTCTGATCCTAATCTTGCTTATCTCTTCCCTTCCTCAGCGGTGTGTTTTTTATTTAAAAATAAATTTTTATTTTAAAAATTAAAAAATTTTTATTTATTGATTTTAGAGAGAGGAACGGAGAGAGAGAAACATTGTTTTTGTTGTCCACTTATTTATGCCTTCATTGTCTGTTTCTTGCATCTTGTATATGCCCTGACCGGGAATCTAACCATCAATCTTGGTGTATTAGATGGATGACACACTAACCAAGGAGCTACCTGGCCAGGGCTGCTTCTCAGCTGCGTTTTAATGAGATTTGATTATATTTAAAATTTTAAACATTATATTAGCTGTTTAGTGGATGATACATCATATTCTTTTATAATTAGCTTTATTATTTTTAGTTTGAGCAATTTAAATAGCAACTACCACTTCTAAGTGTGTGGGGTGATCACTTGGCTTGATAGAATTCCCTGGTGTCTCTGTCTGTGCCATGAAACCTGAGCCAGTGTATGTTGTGTACCTGTGATTATAGGGCCAGGGCTGCTAAGGGGTGGGAAAGTCCTTTAATGAGAAGCCTGTGTGCTTTAGTGTAAGGTATGAGATCATTTTACGGAAACCTCTGCCTTGAAAATCCTACACTTGCACAGTATATTGTAGGTTAGTGGTTTTCAGATTTTTGCCGTACTACTCTTCAGACTATTTTATACTGAGATTTAAAGTGTAGAATAGTTGATGAGAAGCTGCTGTGACCCAACCCACTGCCTCACTAAGCCATGGAGTGCCGTGGAACACATAAAACGTCATCCTAAGTTACCACGGGGGGGCATGGTTTTTGTTGTTGCTCATTCTGTGTTGAGTCTTTTCAGCTTGGGAACCTGCCTCCCTCCTGTGTTAGGCTCTCATGGCTCTGCTGTGAGTGGAGCGTGGTCTCCACTGTTCCAGTTCATGCAACTCACTAGGGTCTTCTAGTGGGAGTGGCGGATGCTCACTAGAGTTTGTCTTTCTTTTTAAGCTCCCAGACTATGTTTGTTATATACTTAGAGACTCTGCAGGTCTCATACTTTATATGGGCTAAAACTCTGTTTCTAATTACATTCACTGTAAATATTAGAGTGCTTACTTAACTCAAATAAAGCTTGATTGCAGCGTTCTCTCTCATGGTTTTTTCATTTCCCTTGTGTTTTTGTGTCTTCAGTTCTTCATAGAAAATGTGCATGACTCTGGTGTCTGGTATAGATCTGACTTTTTTTTTTTTAATCTTGTCATTTACATTTTTCTCTCACAGCACTACAAAGTTCTTCTAAAATTACTTTTATTTGGTTAACCAACACACACATTTCAGACTACCCCCGCTGATTTGTCGTAGGTAATAGTTTGTTAGAAAATATCAGTCTTTAGGAGCTCTCAGTATCTGTGTAAAAAACAATCTGGACCCCATAGGAGAAAGGGCTAGAAGTCGTATACATATTTTCATACCTGTTTATTTCCTTTTCTTAGCACATGGTGTCTTGGTAAGTGGTTGGGAAGTTTAGGTAATAGAGGTGGCGCAAAGGGAATTTTAACTTTGGTGCATAAAGATGATTTTTGCTTAATGGCAGAATGGGTAAAAACAGCTCAGCTTTTCCTTATCACATCATTAGATCCTTGCTTGCCTTAAATCCACTTTTGAACATGGAAGAAGATAGATGCCTGAATCGATGGGCAGGTTTGTAGACCAGTGTTAGGTAGCGTTTTTCTAATAGAGGGTAACTGGACATTGACTGGAACCATAAACACATTTGATGTGCAGAATTGTTTCATATAAAGAAAGTGCTGATACTACCAAGCTAGAAGAAAAAGTTTGGAATAGCAATTAATGTAGGGGTGATTTTGTTGTATTTTGATTTTTGTAAAAATTTCCCAAAATCTGGTCATAACTGTCTGTGTAGGTTCATTGTCACTTGATAGAAATAGGAAACTATTGAGAGAACTGTTAGATACAAAGTTCTGTTTTAGAGATAACTTTAATGGGCTGGGCTGCAGGACAAAGCAAAAATTAAGACTTCCCAAAGTAGATAAATATTTCACTTGCAGTTAATATGTGCCTGACCCATTGTATAGAATGTAAACTCTTTCATACATATCAGAATATATTTTCAGTGTACAGTACATGGAAAGCTCATACGAAGAAACCATCCTTTGTCCTGGGCAGGTGACGCAGTTGGTTAGAACGTTGTCCCTTCAATCAAATGGGTGTGGGGTTCGGTTCCCAGTCAGGGTACACACCCAGGTTGTGGGTTTGATCCCAGGTCAAGGCACGTACTCGAGGCAACCAGTTGATGTCTCTCTCTCTCTTCCCCTCTCTCTATCTCTCTCTCTACCTCCCCTTCCCTCCCTTCATCTCTAAAATCAATAAAATTAAAATAAAAAACATGCCCTGAGGTGAGGATTAAACAAAAAAGAAAAAGGGAAAAGAAACCTTAAAGCTCCTTTTGGTTTTGATATTTGGCTCTTTTTTTGGTAAGAATAATAGTAGAAAATGTAGATAGGTACAGGTCTTTGTGCTCAGGATACACAGTGAAAGGAGAAACTATTAGAAATTAATCCCAGAGAGATTCCTTTTTTTTAATCCTCACCCGAGGACATGCTTAGAGGAGGGAGCGAGAGGGAGAACAATTGATGTGAGAGAGACATTGACCACTTGCCTCTGCATGTGCCCCAGCCAGGGATCCAACCTGCATACTAGGCCTGCGGCCTATCCAGGAGTTGGAGCAGCAGCCTTCTGGTGCACAGGACGGTGCTCAGCTGACCGAGCCGCTCAGCCAGGCCCCTGTGAGACTTTAAAAAAAATAAACTTTCAGATAATGTTTCTCTTCATACATCTGTAGATAAATAAGTGGATAAGCAGGGATATTTAAGAGTGTACAACTGATGGATAGTGGTTTGGGCTTCATATTAAAAGAATTTCTTGTAGAACATTTGTATCGTGCATTGGGCATTAATTCCGTTCACTAGGTGTCTCTGAGGGTGTCTGATTTGAGACCTGCAGTATTTAAATTGGCTCTTATTTTGTATCAGTCTCCATGGACTTAGTTATGTAAGGCTAAATTCTGGGTGACATGTCTCTTGTTAGCAGTGGGACCAGATCTTACTCCGTGTGTGTGATCAGTGTTGACCATAGAGAGCTCCTGTAAAGACTGCATCACCCCAGCCTGCTGTCAGTAGGGTGGGAGAAGCAAGCAGGTGATAGGGCAGTTTCTCTCTTCATTGCTCTTTGGTCTTACCTCAGATGCACACCTGGCATGTCGGGTGTAGTTTCACTCTCTATTTACCCCTTAGTTACAGCTTTATGTGATGGAGTGATGGAAAGGTGGAGGCTAAGGTTAGGGTCCTGCTTCACATATGAAGTACCTCTACAGCTGAGGGGGGGAAGCAGGGGAGGTAGAGAATACTGTCAAAAGAGAGGTCCGTAGTCAGGTAGTTAAGACCAACTGTTAAAGGAAGAAAAGTTTGATAAAGAATAAAGTAAATTAATACGTGTTCTAATTTTAGGATTTTGATTCTAATATTTGAATATAATCTGTAATCTTGATAAAAGTAACTTAGTCTGATAATAAATATTTGGGTAAATGAAAATTGAAATGTCACTGATATGTTCTTTCCTACCATAATTTAGTCATTGTAGCATTTGGATACAGTAGGTACTTTGGGTAGATTTACTAAATACATATTGATATAATTACATAAAGGACAGATAGTCTGTAACATTTTATAGTTCCATTTTTAGCGTATTTCATCACTGTGTTTTTCCTATGTTCACAGTTGGCTCAGTATTTTAAATTGTTTTTTTTGTTAGCCAATTCAGTCATTTCTTACATGTTTGTTATTTATTTTTTTAAATATGTCTCCTCAGAGAGAGGAAGGGAGAGAAAAACATCAGTGATGAGTCATTGATCTGCTGCCTCCTGCGCACACCCTCCTGGGGATCGAGCCCCAACCTGGACATGTCCCCTGACTGGGAATTGAACCTTGATCTCCTGGATCATAGGTTGATGTTCAGCTGCTCAGCCATGTCGGCCGGGCACGTTTGCTATTTAAAAAAAAAAATACTTTGTGGAGTGCCCTTTGAGAAAATTAAACATCAAAACTCTTGGACTTATGACATAATAAGAGAAGTATATTTAGTCTGTTACTTATTAATTTTTTTCTAAATAATTAAAATATGACTTTCCTAGTATACATTTTAGGTTTAAAGCCAGAGGTGTGTTTAGAAACATTTCCTGATGCTTAAGGAGCATGTTTTAAAATTTGGATATTAGCATAAGTACAGTATATTGGTTGGCTATTTTAAATTGAAAATATTTTAAATGGTATAGTAACCATATATAACTCAGTTTATTAGAAAGCAAAAATCAGATTAAGACAGCTTAATCAAATTAGTTTTAGTTCTAAAGTACAAAGGAGTAGGTGTTTGGGAGTGTCAGTTAATGTGCCAGTGCCACCTAGTATTATAGTAATACTGCTGTTGCCCTGTTTTTTACTGGTTATGTTGGTATGTAATGAACATTTGGGAGAGAATATTATGATAGCTTCTGCTCTCACAGAGTTTGTATCAGGTGGCCTTGTCTCTATCACTCTTACATCAAAATAGTATAAATTACTTATCACTCTTAAAGTTGAGGCTCTTTATTTTGTTCCATTTTCTTATTTTACAATTTTTTTATTTATGGTTTTTATCTTCATCCTTAGAGTTGAGGATATTTTTGCCATTTTTTTTTTTTTTTTTTTTTTTTTT